AGCCCAGGCTGGCCTCAAACTCACAGAGATCCACCTGCCTCTGCCTCCCAAGTGCTGGGATTAAAGGCATGCGCCACCACCACCTGGCAAAGCAGATCTCTTGAGTTCGAGGCTAACTTGATCTACAAAGCAAGTTTCAGCCAGAGCTACACAAAGAAATTTTGTCTCAAAAAACAAAAATAATGATTTAACACACTTTACATCTTAGAACCAATTACTATCTATATATCCCAACATGTTCACTTTTTCTTTCTCCTTTTAGACCTTTGAAAGTCACAACTCTACAATGCCTCTACAAGAAGAAACCCTTGGACTAGACCTGAATTGTATGTGTGCTTTGAGACAGTTGGGGTTGGGAAAGGCATCTCTGCCTTTCAGGTGGCTGCTACACAGTAAAACACTTGTGCTAGGATCTCATTGCAGAGCTGGTTCATATTTCAGAAAAATCAAGCTAAGTATTTGGGGCAGAAAGCCAAAGCTACCACAGGTGTTCTTCAGAGTTCACCAGAATGGCTGGCTATCATAGAGGGTGTCTTCCATGCCCAGCAGCATACCACAGTATTCACATGTGATTGTCACTTTGGTTCTGACAGCCGTCCTGTGTTAGAAGCACTGTCCCCTGGGAAACTGGGTTTCAAGAAGGCCTGGTAACTCCAAACAGGATCACAGAGCTAGGTCTGTCCAAAGTGGAGCCCGTGCTCTTAGTGAGCGGGGACGCTGGTTCTAGAACAATATGGTGGTTGTGTTGCTACTCGCTCACAGAGAACCCAGGTCTCCCTAGGAAAGCTAAACTCAGATTAACAGTGGGAGAAAACAACCCGTGTTAGGAACAGAGCACAGACTCCAGAGGCCTAAGACCTGCTGTGGGTCTCCTGTGAAGTAAAGAAACTTGATACAGAATTACTCATGGTAACTACACAGAAAGTGTATTAGAACCCAGACAGTGTGATGCCACTGAGTTATTTCTCACTCCCTTTGTCAGCCTGTGTTTCACAGCTGCTCCATGTAATGACTGTTTCCATGAGAAGAAGGGACAGGAAACAGATCTGAGCTACACAAACCATCTCAAGTTTAGGATGGGAAGAACATTGTATGAGATGAAGTGATTCCTAATGGCAGTCTCAATCCAAACTCTCATCCACAGTGGATTCAAACATCATTCATGAAAACACAGAAGAAAGAGAGAGAATCCAAAGAGTCACTCAGGAGACCTTTGGAACCTATCCCCAACCACAGCTGGAATTTGCACAGTATAAGGTAGGATGGCGCAGTGAATGGCACCTGAAGTTTAGTGCCTTTTTTTTTTTTTAGGTACAGAAACCTTAACTGTAAAACATGGCTGAAAACTATTCCTTTTCCATTTATCACTTCAACAAATTTGTAAATTACATAGATCTTTTTACTATATTTGTAAGTTCTCTTGTTAGCAAAGGAGACATCCTGAAATTTTGAATTTGCTTTTGCATTTTGTCTTTGTAGTAATCCATTTGTATATTGCTAGCTGCGGTAAGCAGGGAGAGCTATACCCTACTAGCCTATGCACACCTAGAATAGTATTTGGCATATAGCAAATGCTCATAAATACTTGAATGAATGAGCAGGGTATGGTGGCACACACCTGTAATCCTAGCACTCAGAAGGCTGAGGCAGGAAGATCTCAAGTTCAGGCAAGCCTGGACTACATAGCAAGTTGGTGGCAAACCTCCCTGCCTGACCCCAAAGCACAGAAACAAGAAGAGAGAAAGCACACATACTACCTAGCCCCACTGGCATCAGATGGAGAGCAAGCAGTAGTGCACATATCCTGTGAATTAAACTTGTTCTAAAGGGGTCCTACTGCCCACCACATACCCGAGTAGGAATACAAGTGCATGGCCACCGTTAGAAGAACTCTAGTGTATGTCATAGTCATCCTAACATAAGCCCATGCTCCTCCTCTTAATACCTTCCTTCCCTGAGCCCCAATAAAATTGTTTCCGATGAATCTTAGAGCTACAGGGCACACAAAAGATCGGCTATCCGTTGATCTGCTCACTTAGGCCCAAAGTCTATTTGGTTTGATTTTTTTTTTTTTTTTTTTTTTTTTTTTTTTTTTTTTTTTTTCGAGACAGGGTTTCTCTGTGTAGCTTTGCGCCTTTCCTGGAACTCACTTGGTAGCCCAGGCTGGCCTCGAACTCACAGAGATCCGCCTGCCCCTGCCTCCCTAGTGCTGGGATTAAAGGCGTGCGCCACCACCGCCCGGCGGTTTGATTTGTTTTTAAAGGAAGATGTTTTTGACAGTTTTATGTTTGTTGATGTGTATGCACACACAGCTTTGCTCACTTACGCTCGAAGTTAGGGGAGCCAAAGGTCAGTGTCGGATATCTTTTGGCCTTATTCTTTGAGACAGGGTCTGTCACTGAACCTAGCGCTCCTTTTCGACTGGACTGGCTGCAGGGAGCCCCAACTTCTTCCTGTCTCTGCCTTCCTCCCAAGTGCTGGGGTTGCCACCACACCTAGCTTTTACCTGGGTGCTAGGGACCCAAAGTCCTAGTGCTCAAGCAACAAGCACTTCACCCACTGAGACATCTTTCCAGCCTGCCTGTTTGTTTTTCAGACAAGGTCTTGTAGCCTAGGACAGCCTCAAATTCACTATGTAGCCAAGGCTGACTCTGAACTTCTGACCCTCCTGCTTCCTCCTTGTCACAGGTATGGCTACCACACTTGGCTGTGTTGTATTAACTGAGCTTTAAAGAGCTTCTAATTCAGGACAGTAGCTCTCAGGGTGTGGTCTCTGAACTGGTAAAACCAGTCTTGTGGGAATGAGGAAGGAGCATAGATCTTAGCTCCACCCTATTCCTCCTGGAGTGGGCGTGGGCACAGTGTCCAGCCATCTGTTTCTGCTTGCTGTCTGGCTGCCCTGGGCTGTACACTAACACTGGAAAGCCACTGGTTCAGGAGATAGTTTGCTTGTTCAAACATCTTAGAGTGGTTGTGTTCTGATAGGCTAGATGTGCACTAACTCACTCACACCTGATTTTCTCCAACCTCAGGCAATGGCCAGATGACACTGAATGCCATTTGTCCACTTTAACCAGCCAGTGGCTACATTTTGCCATGTCCTCTTTCTTTCTCTTTATTCCATGTATAATTTGAATTCATTGCAGACATTTAATATCTCATAGATATTTCAGCATAGTGCCTCAAAGTTTTAAGAATCACTCACATTTTTGTTTCTGTTTTTAAACATGAACATATAAGAGGCACAGTTAGAAGGATCACTCCAAGTTCAGAGCAGCTGGTCTACCCAGGGTTCCAGACCAGTCAGGCCACAGTGAGGCATGTTTCCAAAAAGAAAAAGGAAACCTAGGGTCACATCCTGTGTACTTAGGTGTGTGTTGATGTTGAAGAATTATTATTGTTCTAGGCTGGGCCTATAGCTCAGAAGTGCAGTGACGCCCTTGTCACTATTCTGTTGCTGTGAAGAGACACCATGACCACAGAAACTTACAGAGGAAACATGTCACTGGAGGCTTGCTTAGTTCAGAAGTTTACTCCATTATCTTCATAGCGACATGCAGGGAGGTGCTGAAGCAGTAGCTGAGAACTACAACCTGATCTGTTAGCAAAGAGAAAGACTGGGCTTGAAATGGAGTTTTGAAACCCTAAAGCCAATCCCCAGTGACATGCTTCCTTCACAAGGCCATACCTCTTAATCCTTCTAATCCTTTCAAATAGTTACCACTCCCTAGTGACTAAGCGTTCAAATATATGAACCTATGGAGGCCATTCTTATTCAAAACGTCACAAGTGTTTTTACATACCTTAGGCCCAGCACCTGAAAAATTAAAAATAAGCGTTCCAAAACATTCACTGTAATCTGTCCACTTGGGAGACGGAGGTTGAAGAGCAAGTTGAAGACCTGGTCTACATAGAAAGACCCTGTCTCACAAAAAAAAGTAAATAAAATGATGTATGACAATGGCATAGAGATTCCCTTTGGGCCTCTTTTAGATACATACTGAAATATTTACAGGTCAAATACTACGATGTTTTAGATTTACTCCAAATCTAAGTGGAGTGGGGTGGGGGAACATTAACAGATGAATCCAGAGCTGTTAGTAACTGGTTCAGATGGATGATAGGCACATGGGAGTCACAGTGTGCTGCTTCTGTGTGATATGGTTGGGTTGGGAGGGGCTGTTGGGGGCAGTTGGCTGTTGAGATGGTGTCTGGCCTCAAACTTGGAATCCTTGTTTCAGCTTTCTGAAGCTAGGATTATAAGCATGTGCTATTACATCCAGCTTTTAGATACATTCTGAATCTTCCATAATAAAAATCTAAGATTTTTTTTCTGTGTGTATAAGTGATTTGCCTAAATATGGGTAGTGCACCAGATGTGTGTCCAATGCTTACAGAGGCCAGAAGGCTGTGTAGAATCCCTTGGAACTGGAGTTATGGACAGATGGTTGTAAAGCCACCATGTGGGTGTTAGGAACCTAACCCAGGTCCTCTTCAAGAGCAGCAAGTGCTCTTAACCACTGAGCCATCTCTCCAGCCCTGAGATTTATTGTTTTTATATTGAATGCAAAATATAATGGGCATGTAAAGCACAGACTCTTGGCTTCTCCTGCAGGTCAGGTGCTATGCTGAGGGCAGTGCTGACACTCAGCCTCACCTGTGGGTCAGTACCATGCTGGCATTTTGTGTTGGATATCTTTCCTATACCAGATACTTCCTCTTTGCAGTGAGCAAGTCAAATGGGCTCTGCCTGTATTAATCCATGTGTTTCTTGAAGGCAGGAATTAATGGAATATGTAAATTGTTTATCATCTCTCACCATCCTGGCTGATCCCAGGATTTAACCATCACTTATAAATATTTTTTTGACAGCTGGAGACCAGATTCAAGAGTGACATTAATGGAGGCATCTTGGCTGACAGGAAAGAACCTCTGAGGTGCCTTGTAAAGTTCTCAAGCCCAAACCTTTTGGAAGCATTGAAGTCCTTAGCACCAGCCGGTGAGTGGTCAGCATGTCTTACCAGCCAGACCACTGCTTTTGATTCTCAGTAGCTGACTAGCTGGTTACCTCTGAGTGTTCCTGCCTCTCCAGTTGCTGCCTATCAAGCCCTATTTTGCTTCTGCGCTTAGTAGGGGTTAGACGATGCCCATAATTTGCTTCTGATCTTGGCCATTTTTAAGTTAATTGTGCCCGTGATTATGCTGATGTTTTTTTCTTTTTCTTTTTTCAGGTATAGCTGACGCACCGCTTTCTCCACTACTCACCTGCATACCAAGCAAGAAAATGAATTATTTTAGAATTAGAGATAAATGAGATACATGTGGCTTTGCTTGTATTGTACATGCAATTCCAGTTATGGCTGGCTAGTTTCTGTATATAATCTTGTGTTTTAGAAATCAACCCTTGGCATTGGAAATTCAATGTTTTTAATGTCACTGTTGGGATTAACTATGTCCTTCCTATGTGCTTTTACTTCCTCTCTACTAAGTACAGAAGCTGTGGGCATTTGAGAAGTGATAGCACACACTCACACACATACACCACACACACAGCACACATACACACAACACACGCACACATACACCACACACATATATTTACACACACACACACACTGGGCCACTCAGAAGTCAAGCATGACACAGTGGCTGATCCTGCTGGCATCACCCCTACTGTCCTCTATCCCACTCCTTCTCGTCCTTAGTCCCTGATTTCTGTGGGATTTTGGAAACGTCTCAACCCAAAACTTGTAGGAGAATCAGAGGGGAGAGCTGACTGCGTTAAGCTACTACACAGGCTGCATATCTGATGGCTTGTTTCTATAAATTTATTCTGTTCTATTATATATACGTGGAACATTCAAACTGAGCATCACTGTTACACTGACTTGTGAATAAAGATACTAGAAAACTGGTCTATCAGTTGCTTTGGATGAGAATCAAACAGGCTAAGTAGAATGCATAAACACAGCATGAAAAGACTTAAGTAGTGCTTTATGCTATGATATGTACAGACTGGGTCATCTGTTATACCCAGATCGTGGAAACCCCCAAAAGACCACCACGGAGACAGAATCCTACAGTTTTTAGCATAGCAGTGGTTGGGTAAGGGCATTTCCAAGGTTCCCTGATTGGCTGACATTTGTGGAGGGGTATCTGTAAAACAAAAATAGGTGTGTGCTAGACTTGGGGACATCTGGCCACCTTCTAATGGTTGGAATGTTTGGGATGTCAGGTGCTTCCCCTTAGATGTAGGCCATCCCTGGTTGGAGTCAACTTATGGCTTTTCCTGGGTCTGGGTGTTGCCAGAAGCTGTGCCTGGACCTCTAAGCCTGTCATGGCAGCTGTGTGGTCAAGCAGTTTGGGGGCCCCTCTACATCATCCAGTATGAAAAACTGTTTTTACATGTAATGTGGTCAGATGTGTCAGGTACTTCCCTTGTCCCTCAGTGGTAAGAGTATATTGGGATTTGTGCTGGTTATGCCCAGATCACAGGGACCCCCAAAAAGACTACCATGGAGACCGAATCCCAAATGTAAAAGCAAAGAGCCTTTATTTCAAGCTCTGGAGCTTGGTCCCTCTGTCTGACACAGCAGTGAGAGCAAAGAGCCCTGAGCTCAGGTGGGGTGGGGTTTTTATCATAGCAGAGGTTGGGGTGTGGGGGATTTCCGGAGTTCAGGACCCTGATAGGCTGACAGTTGTCCAGGGTTATCTGTAAAACAAAAATAGGTATGTGCTAGACTCAAGGACATGTGGCCACCTTATCTAATGGTTGGAATGTTTGGGATGTCAGACACTTCCCCATCCCTGGGTGGTGTCAGCTTAAGGATTTTCCTGGATCTAGGCGTTGCCTGCCAGTAAGCCTGTCACAGAAGCTGTGTCTGGGCCCCTAAGCCTGTCATGGCTACTGCATGGTCAAGCTGTTTGGGGGCCCCTCCATAGTGCTGGCTGTTCTGTGTCAGTGTGATGAGCTAGAGTTATCTGAAGAGGGAACCTCAGTTGAGAAAAATATCTCCATAAGATCTGGTTGTAAGGTATTTTCTTAATTAGTGATTGACGGGGGAGGGCCCAGCCCACTGTGAGTGGGGACACCCCTGGGCTGGAGGTCCTGGGTTCTGTAAGAAAGCAGGGTGAGTTGTTGCTGTTATAGCAGTGGCGGCCACTGCTGCTACTGTTTCTGGGATTACCATTTCATAATTGCTTACTATAGCTAGCACAGTGGAGACCCTGGCAGCAAAAGTAGCTACCACAGTTAATTAATCTTTCATTCTATTGGGCATGATAAATTTAATTCAATAGTTATATACATTTCGATTGGCTCTGAAAATTATAAATTTATAAACTCAAGTTCCATTTGCTTTTGGGATACCATCTTACAAGGACTCCAATTTGCAATAAGGCTCATTAAGGAAGGGAATGGCTCAGTTGCCTTTAGCCTACTGGCTATGGGTGAGATAGGACCTCTGTTGGTCTTTTCTGTGTCGAACACACAGATTGCAAGCCCAGTGCCACTTGGAGATCTTTGGCAGCAGTTAACTCTGCAGCTCACACACGATTGAGCCAGTATGATAATGAGTATTCAGAGACAGGTAATGCCTGGGGGGCACTCACCAACCTAAGACAAAGCACCTGTGTGGCCTGGGCAGTCATCTCCATGACGGGTAAGGTGACCTGCTGACGTCCCACACAACCTAAATCAGAAGCTCATTTATTAGTAAAAGGGGGACCTGTAGGTCCCTGGCCCCCATTTTGGGTAACTGTTGCCTTGCTTGCTGACCTTGACCTTGATATCCTCCCTATGCTAATTCCCTGCTGGGTTGCGCCCTCCTGAATGCTTAAAGGAAGTTCCTTGTTTGTGTATCCTATATAATGGGTGTCAACAGCTTAGATGCAAGATTGTAAAACATCATTAGCGAACTTCTGCCCTCCAGGGTTCTCCCATTGTGCTGTAAGCCTGTATTTAAGACCTCTTCCCTCCTTCAATAAACAGCATTTGGCATAAAAAAAAAAAAAAGAAAGAAAGAAAGAAAGAAAGAAAGAAAAGGAAGCAGGCTGAGCAAGCCATGAGGAGCAAGCCAGTAAACAGCACCCCTCCATAGCCTCTGCATCAACTCCTGCCTCCAGGTGCCTGCCCTGTTTTTAGTTTCTGTCCTGACTTCCTTTGATGATGAACAGTGATCTGAAAGTGTAAGCCAGTTAAACCCTTTCCTCCCCAACTTGCTTTTGTAGTCATGGTGTTTCATCACAGCAATAGAAACCCTAACTAAGGTTTAAAGATGCTAACTCCCCCTATACATACCTTTGGGGTTTTTTTTCTTTAATAAGATTTTAAGATTTGGCTGGTCAGTGGTGGCACATGCCTTTAATCCCAGCATTTGGGAGGCAGAGACAGGTGGATCTCTGAGTTCAGACCAGCCTGGTCTACAAAGTGAGTTCCAGGACTGCTAGGGTACACAGCAACTCTGAAGAAGAAAAAAAAAAAAGAGTTTAGGATTTTATTTTGTGTATATGTATTTTGCTTGCATCTGTTTATGTATTTCACAGTCATGCCTGGTGCCTTCAGAGATAAGAAGAGAACATTAGATCCCCTGGAACTGGAGGTATGGATGGTTTGTAAGCCACCATGTTGGTGCTGGGAATCAAACTTGCTCTTCCTAAGAACAGTAAGGGCTCTACCACTGAGCCACCCCTCTAGCCCCACTAACTCCCTTTGACCCTTGTCACGACTGGTTGCATACTAAGCCATTTGGCCCTCAAAGTGCCTGAATGGTCAGATTGGAACTGCAGGAGTCCTTGAGCATCCTGGGGCATCTCGGAAGTCCTGGAGCATCCTGGGGTATTCTACCACTTCAAAGCTCTCCTTGGTATAATGGCAGGGATGAAGATTGGAATCTGGATAAGACCCATCATATTATCCTGCTCAAGTAGTATCATGGACTGCATCCTGTGGACCTCCCAGAGTGAGGCTCCTGCTTAAGAAAATTCTGGATTTGGGGCTTCTCAAACTTACCTATTAGACACTTGATGGCCATCTGCGAATGCCTGGGGACGGCTCCTGCAGGAAACGCAAAGCCAAACACCTTCACAGTCAGGACTGACTCAGAATCCCTGCCTTAGTTACTTTCCTATTTCAACAAAACACTGTGACCAAAGCAATTTATAAAAGGGCGTGGTGGCACACACCTTTAATCCTAGCTCTCTACAGGAGGTAGGAGGAGGCAGATCTCTGAATTTAAGGCCATCCTGGCCTACAAAGCGAGTTACAGTACAGCCAGGGCCGTTCCACAGAGAAATCCTGTCTCGAAAAAAGAACAAACAACAACAACAAAAACCCACATATAACTGGGGGCCCACAGTTACAGAGGATTAGAACCCACACCCATCATTAGAGGGAGGATGGCGACAGGCAGGCGTGCGTGACAGTGGAGGAGTAGATGAGAGCTTCTATCTTCCCCACACACATGAGGCAGTGAGAGGAACCTGGGAATGACGTGCGCTTTTGAAACCTCAGAGCCCACCCTCGGTGATACACCTCCTCCAATAAGGCCATACCACCTAGTCCTTCGTAAACACTCCCACCAACTGAGAAGCAAGCTTCCAAACATGAGCCTATGGCAGCCATTCTCATCAAACCACCCCCCCCCCCAATAACAGCAGTTTATTGAACACTTCATATGTGGCCAGCACTGTGGTAGTTATCTCATATGCATTAGCTCATTTCCAAGCTCCTATAAGCAGGTGCATTCTGACCTCTGTGGGAGCGAGCAATGTTTAGGACAATTTTCCCTCGTAACCTAGCTGCCCTGAGCCTGTGACAATCCTGCCCCTGCTTCCTGAGTTCTGTGGTGACAGGGGAGCCACCATTTCCAGTAGCATTACTAACCTTATTTTACTGACATGAATACCCTCCCAGCAGTCAGTCTTCATACCCTAACAATTGCTGAACAATTCTCAAAGACATCTGAATCATAATCCCTGGAATCCGAGTATGTTCCCAAGGCAAAGGGATCCTGCAGTTGAGCGAAAGTCTCTTTGGTACCCGGACAGGCCTGGTGTAATGGGATGACTGAAAATGTTGGTTATGGAATGTGACAGATTCAACTCGCCATTACTGATGTTGGTGAAGGGGGCCCTTGGCAAAGAAATGCAAGAGACCTCAAGAAGCTGGAAAAAGCAAGGTCCCTGGAGCCTCGAGTAAGAGCCAGCACCTTGATTTCAGCTGAGTAGATCCACTTCAGACGTCTGCCCTCATCAGAGAGAGCAGATAACTAGTCTTTGGGAGCTGGGAACGTAGCTCAGCTGGCAGAGTACCTGCCAGTCTTGTACAAGGCCCTCAGTTCGATCTTCAACGCCACAAACCGGCACTAGAGAGGTAGAGGCAGGCAGATCTCTGTGAGTTCGAGGCCAGCCTGGTCTACCAAGTGAGTTCTAGAAAAGTTGCAAAGCTACACAAAGAAACCCTGTCTCGAAAAAACAAAACAAAACAGAGAGAGAGAGAGAGAGAGAGAGAGAGAGAGAGAGAGAGAGAGAGAGAGAGAGAGAATGAGAATGAATCAGGAATTCAAGGGCTCCTTGACTATATGGGGAAGTTTGAGGCCAGCCTGGGTTACATGAGAATCTGTCTCAAAAATAAAATAAATTTGTGCTCTGTGTGTGTGTGTATGTGTGTGTGTGTGTCTTTTTTTAAGGCGCTACGGATCAAACTCAAGGCCTTTAGCATGCTAGGCAAATAGTCTACAATATAAAACTAACTCCTAATAATAATAAAGCGACCACCCCAAAAATAAAACTAAAAGCATCCCTCTTTCTTCTGTGCAGCTAATACCTGAGCTCAGGTCCCTAGGAAGAAGAATGGCTGGGTCCATGGAACCGATCCAGTTCACCTGTTCTCCCAGCAGTTGGCTCCGCTGATAGATGCGCCTCCGATACGCGCTCGCCGCGGCCGGCTGGGGGCGCTGCAGCGGCCGCCCGGCCGGATGCTAATGAGCCCGGCGGCCCCGCCC